GGAGGAGGAGGAGGAGGTGGAGGAGGAGGAGGAGGAGAGGAGGTGAAGGAGGAGGAGGGGAAGAACGTTGGGAGAAGGTTGGCGAGGAGGAGGGGAAGAAGGTGGTGGAGGAGGAGGAGGGGAGAAGGTGGAGGAGGAGAAAGAGGGGGAGAAGGTGGATAAGGAGAAAGAGGGGGAGAAGGTGGAGGAGGAGAAGGAGAAGAGGACGTGGAGGAGGAGGAGGCGGAGAACGTGGGGAAAAAATGGCGGAGAAAGAGGGGAGGAGGAGGAGAGGTGGAGGAGGAGGAAAGGAGGTGGAAGAGGAGGAGAGTGAGAAAGTGGAGGAGGAGGAGGAGAGGAGGAGTTAGAGGACGAAGGAGAAGGTAGAGGGGGAGGGAAGAAGGTGATGGAGGGGGAGGAGGAGAAGAAGAGGAGGAGAGAAGGTGGACGAGGAAGAGGAGGAGGAGAAGAGAAGGTGGAGGAAGTAGAGAAGGGAGGAGGTAGCGGAGGGCCAGGTGGTGGAGGAGGAGAGAAGGTGATGGATGAGGAGAAGGAGGAGATGAGGTGGAGGAGGAGGACAGGAGAGGAAAAGAGGTGGAGGAGGAGGAGAGGAGGTGGAGGAGGAGGAGAGGGAGAACGTGGGAAAAAGGTGGCTGAGAAGGAGGGGAGGAGGGGGAGAGGGTGGACGAGGAGGAGTATATGAGGTGTAGGAGGAGGAGAGGAGAGGAGGAGGAGAGGAGGTGGGGGAGGGAGGAGGTATAGGAGTGCCTCTACCTCCTCTACCTCATCCACTCCCTCTCCTCCTCCTCCACCTTCTCTCCAACTTCTCCCCCCTCCTCCTCCACCTCCTTTCGTCCTCCGCCTCCTCCTTCTCCTCTCCTCCTCCCCTCATCCTCCACCACCTTCTCCCCTCCTCCTCCACCACCTGGCCCTCCGCTACCTCCTCCCTTCTCTACCTCCTCCTCCACCACCTTCTCCCCACGTTCTCCCCCTCCTCCTCCTCAACCTCCTCTTCTCTTCCTCCTCTTCCTCCTCCTCCTCTCCCACCTCCTTTCTTCCTCTCCTCCTCCCCTCCACTCCTGCTCCTCCTCCACCTTCTACCCCCTCCGCTTCCGCCACCACCTTCTCCCCTCCCTCCTCCTCCACCACGTTCTCCCCCACGTTCTCCCCCTCCTCCTCCTCCACCTCCTCTCCTCCTCCTCCTCCACCTCCTCTCCTCCTCTCCTCCTCCTCCACCACCTTCTCCTCACCTTCTCCCCCTCCTCCTCCACCACCTTCTTCCCTCCTCCTCGACCTCCTGCCTGTATCACTGTTCAACAATGAATAATAAACACCAAGTGAGTAAATGTCCGGAGGGTAATTGTCCGGGGGGTAAATGTCCGGGGGGTAATTGTCCGGGGGGTAAATGTCCGGGGAGTAATTAAATCCCGAGGGGCGGTAATGTCGGGGGTAATGTCGGGGCCGTTTAAATTGTCCGGGGGTAATTGTCCGGTCGCCGTAAATGTTCGGGCGGCTAAAATGTCCGGGCGGGCGCTCAATTGTCCGGCGGTAAAATGTTCCGGGGGGAATGGCATGTGTCCGGGGGGTGATTGTCCGGTGGGGCTAAATGTCCGCCGCGAGGCAAATGTCCGCGGGGGTAATTGTTCGGCCGGCGCGTAAATGGTCCGGGGGTAATTGTTCCCCAGGGGTAATTGTCCGAGGGGGCGCGGTAAATTGTCCGGCGGCGGTGATTTGTCCGCGGGGGTGATTGTCGGCGGGTAAATGTCGGGGACGCGTATAATGTCCCGGCGGGAGGTAATTGTCCACGGCCGTTAATTGTCCCGGGGGGGTATCATGTCCGGGGGGTAATTTTGTCCGGGGGGGGTAATTTGTCCGGGCGAGGTAAATTGTCCGGGGAGGTTGCATTGTTCCGCTCGGCCGTGTAAATAGTCCGGGGGGTAAATGTCCGGGGGGTAATTGTCCGAGGGGTGAATGGCATGGGGGTAATTGTCCGGGGGGTAATTGTCCGGGGTAATTGTCCGGGGGGGTCCGGGGATATTTGTCTTAGAACCGTTAAAAGATATACAGCGAGATTGTAAAATTATTTTGTGAATGATCGCTGATATTTTTGTTTCATTAATCGTGTTTCAATAATCGTATTTTATCTATCGTGTTTTATTAATCGTGGGTCGCGTACGTATGACTCGTCATGCATCACCGGAAATTTTACAAGTAAACGAAAATTTTGTGTTTTCGTTCCACAGGTAGCACTAGTGTCGCAGCGCCAAGACGCGCTCAAAATATGTTAATAACGCCGTGGTAAGACTTCATGGCGGTGTCAAAAGTCTTAAAGAAAAGGAGATGCGGTAGGCCTACGTATAACGATTTTGGGGTCCCGCCGTCTATACATGCGCAGTTATGCACATATATGGGGGGAGACATGCATACGTATTATCATACTGACGTAAAGTTTGACGCAAACTCGGCACGTCAGTGGTTACCATTGCTGACGTGGAGGTGCTTAAACACGCGTGGTAGCTTCGGGGGGCTTCATCGAGTCATCCTTGAGCTTCCGCCACGGCGTGAGCATGCACGTGCACATTTCGTGTGCCCTCTATGGAAAGCAACGCTGGGCTGGCGGGTATATAAGAGGAGCATATGACAGTTGTCAAGCACTCACAGCTAGACTCACGCCGGAGTCACACAGCGATAGAGTCACTCGGCGATAGACTCGACTCACGTCAGAGTCAATCGGCGATCGAGTAAACCAGAGAGAGAGAGAGAGAGAGAGAGAGAGAGAGAGAGAGAAGAAGAAGCTCCAGACCACCGGCACCACATACAAACATACATAATTATGTTTACATACATATTCTAAAATTGTACCTATAAAAATGCTTCGACATAAACGATTAATGTAATCAGAAAATGTAATACTTCACATAACTGTCATGATTCTACGAAACCAAGATACAATGCGTGCTCAAGATTATATAACTTTTCTCTTTCGCCGTATCCTCTGCGGCAATATATATGAGAAAAACAATAGATTATGCGAGATGCTCTGCTACCATCCGGGAAATGCGAAATAGAAAATGGCGTAAAATATCATTATTTTTGGATAATTGTCAAAAACCATTAGAATCTATGAAATATATTGGCATTCACATCGTCACTCATATGTTCATACGTTTATAATACAGCTCATGAATTATTAGAGCTCAACATGATGCCGCTATATAGAGCTCATTGTCATTGTACTCACACAACGTTGACAGATTCTCGCATCGAGTATGTACTGTGAATTCAACTGTGTTGCCAACTAGAGAACAATATTGTTACAATGTGATCGGCTGTAAACGCGGGAATAAATTATACGCCCTTTAGCTGATTATGAATAAACAACACCTAGCATTATGTGGTTGAATTACAGGGCACCCTGTTTGCCATGGTTAGTTATTGGGTTATAAATTTAATTGTTAAGTGAATGGTGTTATACATTCGCGCGTCGACATTTGACACACGTGCGCACACGTACGTACGCACGTACACACACATACATGCACGCACACACGCACGCACGCAC